GCAGAGGCTGCAATCGCCTTGGGCCACTGGGACCCCGGGGCTCGGCCAGCTGCAGACGGGGCCCCCCCACAGCTGCCCGCAGTGCGCTTGTGCTCCCTGGCAGGTGGCTCCCGTCCCCGCAGGGCCGCCCCATCCCCGTCACGCAAGCGTCTGCATCCCAGGTGGCTTATCTGCATTTGGAAACCCTTAATCCCTTTGCACGTTTGGCTCAGACACTGTCCCCGCTCCCTCCCCGCTGCGCTGCCGAAGGGGACGGCTGCGGCCCTGGGGAAGGAGCAAAGCCGCCCCGTGACCTCCTTTCGGCGCACAAACAACCCCATTCCCCAGCACCCGACCCTCCTGCCCGGGTCCCGCTGCAGCGCCCAGCACAGGGAGAAAGCAGGGAGCCCGGTCCCCCCGAGCTGCAGCCCCCCAGGGCTGGCCCAGGCGGCAGGAGGGGGCCAGGGGCCGCAGGGACCCCTGCTCGGCTGCCCCCCCCCACCCCCGGGGGGCCGGCCCCCCCGCGGCTGCCCCCCGCTACCGCAGGGGTCCGGCCAGCCCAGCCCAGCCCAGGGACCTTCCCCAGGCCCTTTCTCCTGCTGCAAATCAGGCCATGGCACTTGCCAACCACGCTGCCAACTGGAGCATTCACAACAGCAGCCCCTGAGCAGGGATCGGCGGCCCGATAACCCCGCTACCCCAAAGCCAGGCGCCCCAGCTAAACCCGGGGAGCGGGGCAGGTTCCAGCAGGGATGCAGCAGCGTGTGTGGGTGCAGGGAGATAAGAAACCACTTATCTGCAGGAGCGCGGGACGGGACGCTGTGTTCCCGGCAGCAAACGGTTGCGGCAACCCCAGGGTTTGCATATCGGTAAGAGAATTCCTTGTTCCGGGGTTTTCTACCCCATCCTGCAGCTGGCAGAGGGGAGCTGGGAACGGCTGGGGAAGGAGGGGGGGGAATCCCTGGGGCTGGGCCAAGCCACGTTCCCGTGTGAGCGGCACCCGGGCGCACGACCCCGGGGGCAGGAATGGGTTTGCCGGCTCCGTGCAGAGCCCTGGTTTGGTTCAACGGTGAAACAGAGGGTGCTGGTGGGGCTGGTTCCCAGGGCAGGGACACGCAGAATTTAGCTCAAACCCAAGCAGGACGCTCCAGGGCGTGGGGAGGGAGCAGGGGGCTTCAGGGCCATCTCCAGCGCCTTGAACCAGCCCGGCGCGGCCGGTTCCGCAGGGGCTATGGGGGATTTATTGAGCATGACCTGCACAAAAAATCCCCCTGCTAATCCTGCCCTGGCAGAGCAATAATCTCTCCCTCTTAGCCTCATCAGAGCCCAAACCCTGCAAGGATCCCGCTGCTCCGCAGCTTTGGGTTGGGCCGCAGGTGGCGAGCGCGGATGGCGCCGGAGCCCCGCGGGAGAGGCTGGTGCTCCATGGGCAGCATGTGGCTGGCGCCAGCCGCCTGCTCCCAGCCCAGCGCGCACACGCACCTCGCCCGGCGAAGCCAGGGGCCTGCTGCCCTCAGCCCGGCGCTGGGGGCCGGGGTCTGTCCCCGCGGCGGGGCAGGGCGCAGCAGCGCTGGGTGCTGGCTCCGGGGCGTCCCCACGGGGCGGGGGGGGCAGGGCAGGCTGAGGCTGCAGCCAGGGCCCTGCGGGGTGCCCAGGCAGCCACCCCCTCACCCAGCCCAGGGACACGGCCCTGAGGAGAGGGGCTGTGGGGAACAACTGACCCAGGGGGGGCAGAGGCAGGCGCAGGGGGAGCGGCCCAGGGGGCCCGGTGCAGCCGCCGCGGGGCAGGGAGCAGCTTTGCAGGGCCCCGACGCAGCGACGTCCTCCCACGCTGGCACCGGAGTTTCCTTTACGCAAGCAGAGGAGACCCGGGCGCTGCTCGGGGGCAGACAGAAACCAGCCCCGGGCTGCGGCGCAGCGATACGCCCCCCGCCAGCCCCCCGCTCCCCCGGGGAAGAGCCCTGCCGTACTTCGATAAGGCGGGCAGACCGACAGCAGCCTGCCCACGCGTGCCGGGCAGCGGCGCAGGCCAGGTGCCGGCAGCACCGGGGCAGGCTGGTTTGCGCCGAGCAAACCGCAGCTCTGGCGTCAGGGCCAGCGTTTCGCTGACGGAGGCCCCAGTTCCCGGAGCAGGGTAAGGCAGGCGCCGCACACAGAGAGCTGAACGCACACCCCCAGAGCACGCTGCTTCAGAGCCTTTATTTTGGAGAAAGTTAAAGCCTGTAGATACAGCAATAAAATATACAAAACCATACGTTTTTTTACAGTATTGAATGCTGCCCAGGGCTACAGTGACTGCAGCTGGAGGCAGCTACACAGAGTACAGGGGCAAACGGCCCTCGGCCCCTCCGAGCACTTCCCAACTCCAAAGGGCATTCCCAGCCCCAGGGCCGGCCACCACCACCCGCTCCTGGCCAGGCAGCGCTGAGCTGGGCCCCACACCCCTTTCTCCCATCCCCTGGGGATCCTACCCCTGCCCTGCCCGCAGGCTGCGATGCCGACAGCGCAGCCCCCAGCCCGGGGGCTGTGGGGACGTCCCACGGATGAGTGAGGGTTTCTGTCCACCTGGGGCCAAATCAAGACACATCAGAGACCTGTAAAGCCCAGGGCTGGCGCCCAGCAAGGCGTTTCTCTGCTGATGTTACCCACAGCCTCAGCACCGACTGCTGCCGCAGCCCTGCCCAGGACGGCACACAACCCCCAGTGCCGCCCCGCTGCAGGCAGCCCCGGCAACACCATGGGCTTCCAGGTGCTGGGGGGGCAGGCAGCTCGGCCGCTGCCTCTCCCTCCCCTTCCTTGCTCATCGGTGTCTGCATGCCCACTACATGGGAAGGACAGGAGGGCTCCCCCCTTTCGGTGAGTTTTTGGTAAATACAGAACCACAACCATCAGCCAGCAGAGCTTCCACCTTTCCTTGACCCAGCGAGCAAGGAAAGCGGCCCTTTGCCACACCCGTGTCTCAATCGAGCGCTGGCCAACAGCGGATTCCCCTCCCTACGCCCATCCTGCTCCCTTCAACTCTTGCCACCTCCTACCTTAACAGTGACAGCCAACCTCTAACAAAAATGCCACGCGAAGCCCCCGAGAAGCTGCAAACCCACTGCCTGGGACATCACAAGCCATACCAGAGGGAAAAGGGCCAGGCCAGGCCACCCACAGCAGGTCACGGTGGATCCAGCAGCCTCCCATCCTCCCCCGGGGTCCAGCGGGTCCACCTGCAGCGGGGGAGGCAGAGCCGTGCTCCTGTCACCAGCCTGGCCACGGGGCGAGCCACGGCCGCGGCAGCCTCTGCGGTTATACCCCAGTCCCAAGACACCCAAGATGCAGATGCTGCATGCTCACAAGCACGCACTGGTGTTGGGAAATGTCACTGCCCTGCCCCAGGGCAGCCTTTGCACCGCAGGGAAACCAGTCGTCCCAGCAGGAGCCCTGGGGCTGCGGGAGCCTGCCGGCTCCCTGTGCCCGCCAGCAGGAGGCTGGTGGCAAGCACAGGTGGCCACCGAAACTCCCTGCTCCCACCAGAGCCCAGGCTGAGCCCAGCAGAAGCATCGCCCTGGCAGGGCGGGAGTGCCTGGGCCCATCCACCTCGCAGCTCTGAGCCACGTGCTGGTCCTGCTGGCCAAAAGCAGGGCCAAAGGTGCAGAGAGGAGAACCCTCCGCACTCCGCAAGCTCCGGGAGGGCTGCTGGGGCAGCAGCAACGCAGAGCCCTGTCGCACAGCGCAGCAGGTAACCGTGTGGAGGCCAGGACCGGCCCATCCCCTCTCAGGTGCCCGGAGGCAAATCCGGACTCCTAAGATCTTCACAGGCTTTTGACTCTGGCAGTCAGGAAAGCAGCTTTCAACAGCAGGCAGCACGACTGGGGCTGCAGAAGCGTTTGTAAAAACCAAGGCTGCGATCGGAGGCTAATAGGCACTTGAATGAGCAAAACAATAATAAAAAACCGTTATGGAAGGAAATAGAAAAAGGTTCATCCCCCCTCCCCCCAAAGAGACGAACAGAAACCGCCCTGGAGAGGGGGCATTCGTTTGGGTCAAACAAGGAATTGGTGGCAGGGACCCCGGCCCCCCGCTCCTCCCGAGGAAAGGCCCAGAGCAACCGTGACCGAGCTGCGCGAGACCGGGGAGCTCTTCGGAGGCGGGGAGCCGAGTCCTGGGAGGGCCCCCGCGAGCGCCAGTGGAGCACTTCACATGGGTGAAGAAGCACACTCCGGTGTCAGCTCCATGTCGAAGGTCAGCGACTCTGCGGGGAGACACAGCCGGAGGTTACCGGGCCCGCGCGTGGCTACGGCCAGGACCCCCTCGGGTGCCGTGTCCCACCACACTCACCAAACTGCCCTCCTGCATTGGCCTCCGCTCCCTCGCTGCTGTTGCCAAACTGCATGAGCGAGTCCAGGGTGCGCGGGGACATGGGCAGGTCGATGGTGTTGCTGAAGGAGGTGCTGCCCGAGGAAGGAAGGGAAAAGCACAGAAACCTCCGGAGTCAGGGCCTGGCCAGAGCTCTCCGACACCCCCTCTCCCCCCCGACGGGCCCCAGGGCACGGCCCAGCCCGTCCCAAGAGCTCTCCAGAGGAAAGGGGCCCCAGGAGGGGAAGAACAGGCCTGCGGTTAGGGCAGCGAGCCGGAGCCTGGCTCGGCCCCCACGGTCTCCCCTGGCCCAGGCTGGGAGCCTCATGGCACCCAGGCAGAGCCCAGGCAGTGGTGGGAAGGAAACCCCCCCTCAAGCAAGGCTGAGCACACAAATGCCCCCCCAGCACCCACAGACACCCTCCAGGAACACTCACGGGGTGACACAGATGAACTTGGTCTTCAGATACGGAGCAGCACCTGCAGAGGAGCGAGCAGCCTCGTCACCAGCCGCCGGAGGAGGAACCCCGCTCTCCTCCCCCTCCGGAGCGCAGCCCTGCAGGCAGCGCCCACCCTCCCGGCCCCTGCGCAGCGCTCGCTGCCCGCACCCCACGGGCACCCCGCCGCTAGTCCCACGCTGTGACTATGCCCTCCAGGGACCAGCACGGGATCCCGGCTGGTGATAGCTCTTCCACCAGCGCTGTCCCTGCAGCCTCCCAACACAGGAGCTGTGGTGGAGCGCAGAAAGTCAACGACTACCTGAGTCCGTGGCTTCCGAGTGCTCCTGGCTCTCGGAGCGGCAGTACTTCCCAAACGCCTCCTCCTTGGGGATGTCTGGGTACAGGTACACCAGGGGGGACACCAGGATGTTGGTGGCATCCATGATTTTGTAGCCCATGATGATCTCCGCAAATGACATGTTGTTCAGCTGCTGCTTGGTGTAAGGCTCCACAGACTGGATCTGGGTCTTCCCTGTACAAGGAGACTTTTGACACAGGGCAAGACACCCACATTCCTCGGGCAAAGGCAGGGCCTTCCTCAACACCCCAGGAGCAGCAGGGACAAGATGGGCCTAGGGCCATGCTCAGCCTCACGATGCACCCAGCAGAGCATGGGGCAGGACGGGGACCTGCCAGGTGCTTTCAATGCCACGCAGAACCGCGCCACACAGGCGGGACATGGGCAGGGACACGCAGGAGGCAGAGACCAACAAAGGGCACCCAGGCTCAAAGAGTTAACCTAGGCAGAGGGCTTGTCAGGACAAGGACAAAGAAGTGTCTTATTGGGGGGTCGCAAGCCCCCTTCGGAGCCAGGAAGAAGGGCTGAGCAAGGCAGCGCGCCCGGGGCAGCGAGGGGGAGAGCACCGTACCGCTGATGTCCTTCTCCACCCACGTGAAGGTGATGCCGCCTTCCTTGCTGCTCTC